CGCACCCCAGACTTCAAATCCTTCAAATCCTTTACTTGTTTTAACTTTTGAGAATTTCATATGAGTATTTTTTTACATTATTTCTGTCCTTCTCAGTCCTTTCCAACTCCTCCCATGTCCCTTCCAATCTCTCTCAATTTCCTGTCTTCCTCTTTATTATTTTTTACCTATACATACATTTGTAAACACACACACGCACAAACACACACACACACACACACACACACACAATGCATTGAATCCATTTGGCAGTGCTTGTGCATACCTGTGTTTAGGGCTATCCATTTGGAACTAGATAACCACTCAGGGAGCTAGTCCCTGGAGCAAACTTTTATTCTTTCCCCTCATCATCCATTGATTGCCTATAGCTCTTCGTCTTGACGTGGGACCCCATGAAATTACCCCCACCCACCTTCACATGTAAATTGGTTTTCTCGTTATGAAGATCTTGTTAGACTATCATACTGTGGAAATTTCATCGGTGCAGATTCCCCATCAGGTCTAGAATGCACTAATTAGCGGTAAGTGTCTTGTCCCTCTGGCTCATTCTTTCAGTCCCCTCTTCTATGATATTCCCTGAGCCTCAGTTGTAGAGTTTGCATTGTAAATGTTTCACTTAAGGCTGGGCACCCTCAGAGTCACTTATTCTCTGCATTTGACCCGGTTTGAAACTGTGTTGTCTCCTTCTGTTGAAAAAATAAGTGTCCTTGATAGTGTGAAGAGGTGCAGTTATCTGTAAATATAAGGTTATTTAGAATATAGTAAGAAATTATCCATGGAACGTATAGAAGCAGGTATTTTTCTAAGGCCTATGACCTCTCCAGCCATGGGTACTTGGCTATGTTTACAGTATTTCACATGAATTCCAACCAGTTGAATGGGTCTTAAATCCAGCTAAACAGCCGTTGAGTACCCTGAAGATAAAAAGATAAAAGTACAGTTACTGAAGATTTTATACACACACACACACACACACACACACACACACACACACACACGGAGAGAGAGAGAGAAGCACATTATTATATCTACAGTATACACTGGAGATTTAGTTTCATTTCTGTTGCTGTGATAAATTACTATGCCAAAAATAAACTTAGGGGAGATAGGGTTTATTTTGGCTTGCAGTTCCAGATTACAGTCCATCATAGCCAGGAAGTTAGAGTGGCAGGAATTTAATACAGCAGAACATGCCACATCCATAGTCAAAAGCAGAGAGAAATACTTGTTTGTTTGTGTGTACTCAGCACAATTTTTCCACCCTTATTTAGTTCAGGACCTCCTGCCTGGGGATGGTGCTGCCCACAGTAAGCTGGGTTTTCCACATCAATTAACTTAATTAAGGCAATTAAGATACTTGAAGTAACACATCAGATCTAGTATAAAATATTTAAATACATCGTTTATATTAAAATTTGAGGCAGTGCTTTTGGTCAGTACTGGTAACATCAATTAGATATATAACCTCCAGGTATTGAGGATATATCTCAGTGGTAGAGCACTTACATAACATATACAAGACATTAGATTTAATACCAAGCAAGGAAAAAGTAATAATAAAATAAAATGAAAAAGAGATCTGTTAAGAGAGTTTATCCATCTTTAAATTAATTTTAATCTTTAAAATGTTCTAATTCACTAATATAGCTTCTTCCATTTTTATTACATTTTTGTGAATTTCATACAAAATTTTTTCTCATATTTAGATACCCTCCCTTATCCATACTCCCTTACTATCCATTGCCCAATTCCATTTACTGTATTGTATATAACACATACTGCATATACTCTATTATATATATTAAGGCCTCTAGAGTCTAATTTGTGTCCCCAAATGTCCTTTAGTTTTGGTCCATCCATTGAAGTCCTGTTAACCTACCAAGAGTCACATCCTTTAAAGACACTGACTCTCTCCTTCCCAGTTGGTATCAGTTTCCAGTAGTTCCTCACCCACATCCCCATATACATGCTGGGATTTTTGTCTGACTGGTACTTACTTGTGCATGCTGTCTCTCTTGCTGTGAGTTCATATGAGTAACTTCCAAGCTGTCTGAAAAGTTCGGTTTCCTTCTTGTCATCTGACACCTCTGGCTCTTACAGTCTTTCTGCCCCCTCTTCTTCAATGATCCCTGAGTCTTTGGAGGCTGAAGTTTAATATAGGTGTCCTTTTCAGGATAGACAGTCTGGAGACTGCTATTCTCTGCACTTGAGAAGTTTGTGAGTTTCTGTGTTAATCACCATCTGCTACATAAGAAAACTGCTCTGGTAAGAGTTAAGAGGTGTATTTATCTATGGTATGACAATAAGTCATTAAGAGTCAGTTTAATACTGTATCTAGTTAATATTAAGAGATGTATTTCTCTACAGTACGACAATAAGTCATTAAGAGTTAGATAAATACTGACTCTAATATTAATATAGTCTCTCAACTATAGCCTGTGTCCTGTCTAGTCACATGCTCCTTGACATGATTATCAGTGTCAGATATTGGCTCATTCTTATAAAGCATATCTCAAATACAATTAGAAAGTAAATGGTTATTCCCATAATATTTGTGTCACTGTTGCACTATAGGTCAAAGTGCTGTTGAAGCATGCGGGGTTCACAGCTGGGTAAGGTTAATTTTGTTTTCCAGTAACATTCATAGCATCTTCCAGCAATATGAATGCTAGCTAGCAGAGATGAGGCTTTGAAGTCAGCACCAGCTTGATTTCTCATTCTTTGTTCTATGGCTTATATATGTAGTATCTGCAGCCATACTCTCTTACCAACAAGTTCTGGTAGGTAACCAAGATTATGGGTAATGGCCAAGATTGTCTGAAGGTCTATGGGATGACCCCTGGTCAACAATTTCAAAATAGGAGTCCATCCTTGGCACTTTGCTAGTCTATAGGCTGGTTAGGAATAATAACCCTAAAATCCTTTAGAAAAAGCCAGTGGAAATCTACCACCATAGAAGCTTCTTTAGTATCTTCATTTGCATTATTAAAAGGAGTTAACTTGCAAAAGGAGGACATTGCCCTTGTGGTGGACTGAATGAGAATGTCCTCCATGGGCTCCAAGTTGATTTCACTGTTTTGGAAGATGTTAGAAGGTGTGGCTATCCTGGAGGAAACATGTCACTAGGGGCAGGCATAGAGAGTTCTTAAGCCTTGTGGGATCTTGAGTTGCTCTCTTGCTTCCTGTGCCTGTTTGAAGATGTAGAGCCTAGCTTCCACTCCTCCTCCAGTCACCTCTGCTGCCACTCCTCCCCACCACAGTGGATTCTTGCTCCTTGGAACCATAAACTCAAATAAACTCTTCCTTTTCTATAAGTTGCTTTGATCAGTGTTTCTATCACAGCAACAGAAACATAATACATCCATATATAGCATTTTTTAAAAATATTTTATTATTTTTAATCTATGTTTATGTGTGTCTTGCCTGCATGTAGTTAAGTGCTCCTGTGTTGTGCAATGCCCGCAGAGGACGGAAGAGGCTGTCGGATCCCCTGGAACTGGAGTTATGGACAGTCGTTAGCTGCCATGTGGGTGCTGGGATTCAAACCCGGGTCTTCTGCAAGAACAACCAGTGTTTTATCATTTTTAAAAGCAGGAACGTATACATACTTAAAGCTATAATATTCTTTATTTCATAAGTAAATATCAGTAGCAATGCATTTTAAAATAATTTATCCAATTAAACAAGGCAAACTTTCAATAAAAATTACACATCAAAAAAGAATGACCACACCATATTTGAGAACCTGACATTTGTTAGAGTTTTTCTTAGATCTACTTTCCTTTAGACACAGTGTTTGGAGCATGTGGTAGTTTGAATAAGAATGTCACCCATAGGCTCCAAGTATTTGAGCATTTTGTCCTCAGTTGGTGATGGTGTTTTGGGTCTTAGAAGGTGTGGCGTTGGTGATGGTGTTTTGGGTCTTAGAAGGTGTGGCGTTGGTGATGGTGTTTTGGGTCTTAGAAGGTGTGGCGTTGGTGATGGTGTTTTGGGTCTTAGAAGGTGTGGCGTTGGTGATGGTGTTTTGGGTCTTAGAAGGTGTGGCGTTGGTGATGGTGTTTTGGGTCTTATAAGGTTTTGCGTTGGTGATGGTGTTTTGGTTCTTAGAAGGTGTGGCGTTGGTGATGGTGTTTTGGGTCTTAGAAGGTGTGGCGTTGGTGATGGTGTTTTGGGTCTTAGAAGGTGTGGCGTTGGTGATGGTGTTTTGGGTCTTAGAAGGTGTGGCGTTGGTGATGGTGTTTTGGGTCTTAGAAGGTGTGGCCATGCCTAAGGAAGCATGTTATCCAGGTGGGATTACAGAATTCTTAAGCTCTGCCAGATCTTCAGTCACTCTCTGTTTCCTGTGCCTACTTGAAGATGTGAGAATTTAGCTTCTGCTCCTACTCCAGCCACCTCTGCCACCATGCCTACCTGCTCTGATAGATGGACCCTTGCCCCTTTGGAACCATAAACTGAATAAACCCTTCCTTTTGTGAGTTCCCTTGGTCATGATGTTTTTAATTACAGCAACAGAAAAGTGACTAATACAGAGCAGATTTCTGTATTTCCCATATTCGTTTTGCTGGGGATTTTTTGTTGGTTTCTTTTTCTCTTTGTCTTTTTTTTTTTTTTTTTTAAATAAAATTCCCTTGTGCCACCACTTGGTGTAGCCACAGCTTGCATGACCAGGCTTTCCTTAATCTCAAAGATCTATCTGCCTCTACCTCCTGAGTGCTGGAATCAAAGACATGCAAAACCATACCCTATGTATTTGAAACTCATCAACAGTGTATGAATATAGGTGTATGTTCTCCGGATGCAAGAAAATTATATCCTCTGAGAAGACAGTGTAAATTGTTTTTGCTTTTATGTAAATATGTTTTCTTTGGAGATAAAGCATTTGGAGAATTGTATTTTAAATTTAACATATAAACAAATTTGAAATATTGTTTACTTTCTATGAGATAACAATGAAATCCATATGTCTACCCCATTGTTCTTTTTATTTATGTATTTTTTATATCAATCAGACTGAGTTCTCTCCCTCCAACTCTACCTGAGGCAGATCAGAGAAATCAATGGCAAAGGCAGCTGCCTAAGAGCAGCACCCAAGCCAGCTTCACGCTCAGGAGAGAACACTGCACCTCCTGCTCCTGGTTCCTGGTACTCTACACAGTCAGAGAAACTTCTCTAGTAATAAACTATAGAAATGATCCCTGAAAGTATAATCTTAACCTACCTCTGTTTTTAGAGAATCCAATGGCTGTGATTGTCTCTGGAATTCCTGGGACTCTAGAGTTTAATGTCTTAGAGGACAGCTTGCCCTTTTTTTTTTCTGCTGAATAGTAAACTTTTAGACACTCCTAGCCCATAAACAAATCTTAATCATGTTTATCTAACAAGAATGAAGTGTCTATAAGTCTGATGTTGTAAAGCATAAGTTAGCACCGTCACTGGAATAGAATGGATAGTTAAATTATATTCTTTGGGAGTTAAAATTTGCTTCTGTGGTAAATATAAATTTTTAACATTGTAAACAGGAAGCTGTTTCTTCTGTTTTAACATTAGGTTCTGTTCTTCCAAAAGCTTTTCACATATAAACTATTGTTCATTGCTTATTGACAATGAAAGATTTTTCAAATTGTACTTGTTCATTTTTATTTTATGTGTGTGAGTGTTATGCCTGCCAGTAAGTGCACACATGCATGCAATACCTGTAGAGGCCAAAAGGAGGCATCAGATCTGATAGAACTGGAGTTACAGATGGTTGTTAGCTGCCATGTGTATGGTGGGAACCCAACCCATGTCCTCTGCAAGAGCAACCAGTGCTCTTAACTGGTGAGCCATTTCTCCAGTCCTGAGACAAAAGATTTAATTCAATTCAGTATAACAATCATCAACTTATCACCAACTTCTATGTATAACCCACTGTCATTAGGTTGCTTATATAATGTCACTCATTCATTGGCCATTCAAAAATAACTTTGTGTCAATTAAGAGTACTCTTTAAAATGTTTTTAAATTTTAGATCTTTGTATTTGAAAATTAATAGGTTTATTATGTTTTGATAGAGAACCAAACATCAAGAATCAATAAAAAAATTTTCATCTTTAATTTTTGCTGAAATATTGCTTGTTCTGCAGTATTATGTCCTCATTTTCTATTTGTGGCACCATAAGTTTCTCACATATTCAAATATCTATACATAATGACATATATAAATAGGCAAACTAAAATGCTGACTTCCAAAGCATTACTACATTTTAAGGGAATGATTCCTCTATATGAAGGTTAAAGTATCTGAATATGTCTTACTTATCTTTGTACCCACTTACTTACTATCACTTACTAAATTATTCATGAAAAAAATGAGTCAATGAAAATATTATTCATAGAAAGAGTGGAGAGCTCAACAAATGCTGCCAAATCACATAACTAAATATTCTTTAATAGTCATTATAAAAGCCATGTGTTTTCATCATAAAGAGTTATAGATTTTAGGCTGAGGAGATTCTCAGCAGGTAAAGATGGCTGCCACCCAAGCCTGGTGACCTGAGTTCAAATTGAAATTATCCTCTTACCTCCACACTCAATTGTTGGTCAGTGTGCTCCCCCTGCCCCCCCACCCACACCAAGCAAACACATTTACACAAAGTAATTACAAAAAAATAAATAAATAAGAATGTATAGATTTTGGAGATCTGATGCTATATTCTGTCTTTTGCACTTAGTGAAGACCATCTTTTAAATTGAATTTGTCTATTTCTTTCCATTGACAATAGAATCTAAATTAATCTTTGAATTGAAGTTTTAATCTGCCTTAATGCCTGATATATGAAGCAAAAACAATATTGGAGTAAATTCATGCCTCCTAATGAGTTTGAGATGATCGTTAATCAATGAATCTCTCGTCCATACTTGCAAATACTAATATATTAAATTTTTCAAGAAAATTGCCAGGAAATAATATATTTAAATTGATGTGAATGATGTTACCATAATTTCACCTGAAAACTTTTAAATCCTTGATTGCATAAGACAAATTATCCTTACTTACCTATTACAGGACCTGTACATTCACCTACATTCTTAGATTTTAGGCACATTTGAAACAAGTGGAAACTCTATGTGTTAAACAGTCTTCGGATCCTAACCCAGCATGAAAGCAGTGTATGACTTTCCACAGCTTTATGGGCTTCAAGAAGTAAAGCTACTCTCCTCTAAGAGATGATTATTTAGGGACAAAATAAAAATTAAAAATAAATCAGAAGGAACTCTATCCACTAGATCAAATGAAAAGGAAATGAGTGAGAGACCAAAATGTATTTATTTACAAACATTATTATTTTTTTCATTTATATTTTAAAAACCTTCCTTATGTAAGACTAACACATGCAACATGACAGCAACATGGGTAACACCTATAATTTCATGAAACTTCAAATCATTCTTTACCTTGCAAATGACCTGTGTAAAGAGTAAGAAAATGGTCTCCACATAGAGAATATCATTTGTCAAGTCTCCAAAGTGTGAAAGAATATAGCTGAGCAACAGAGAATAATATATTAGGGTTGAAGTTCAATACAAGATCGAAAAATATAGAAAAAGAGTGGCACTGAGATGGCATGGTCACAGACACTGGGACCAAGACATGGCAACAGATCACTTCACTCTATATTCTCTAGTGTTCTTACATCTGCTTCATTCAAACATTGAGCGTTTCTATTGTCCCATGGAGCATTATGGAAACAGTGCATGCTGCAAATGAAATTAAACAGATCTTGAAAATTAAAAGTCACTTCTGTCACATAAAAGAAGCAATTGCATATACGTGTCTTAAAGAGTTTGGGACTACTTACTCCTTGACAGACCATATTCAGAAGCCTTTCTTAGTCAAGAATTTCCAAACTCAGACTTTATCTAGTATTGAAAAGGAAAAGAAAGGGAGGGGAGAGAGAGAGAGAGAGAGAGAGAGAGAGAGAGAGAGAGAGAGAGAGAGAGAGAGAGAGAGAGAGAAATAAATAAAAAAAAAAAAAAAAAGGAGGCAGAGGCAGAGACAGAGACACAGGAAAGACTGAGAAAAGGAAAACTAGAACAGCAGCAGAAGATATAGCAGGAAGTGCAAAATAAAGACATCAGAGAAACAAACTGGGGACGTGGGTCCCATCAGAGAATTTCCTTGGAAGCCCCACTCTCTCAAGCCTGCTGAACAAGACCATGTAGATCTTTCCCCCAAAGCACTCCTAAGTATGGCTCTCTCTTCATGACATTTCATGGAATACCTGTACAAGTAACAAGTGATCCCAAGTACCAGTGTACCAACCTTGCTCACTCCAATCAGTTACACAACGAATTGGCTTCCCAGTATCAGTTTTGCTGCTCTGTCACAGTGAAATGTAGAGGAAAAGCCATTATTGAGAAACAAGAAAAGCAGCCCAGGTTCCTATTAAGGAATTTTCACAAGTTTTTGCCCCAGAAATTGCCAAACAGAAAAGTTTCAACAGCAGCAAAAGTGCAAGACATAAAATGCCATAACCTGATACCACAGAACAGAACAAGTGCCAGGTCACGTAATCGGAGCTTCCACCTACAACTAGTCATCTGTCAATCATTGCCCTCTTTGCATGGCAGAGATTGCATAACTGGAACTATCTCCCAGGACTGTATGCCAGCCAGTCTACATGGACCTCATTCACATGGCATGCATTACATGCTGGGAAACTGCTTGCAAAAACAAAATAATTCACCCTGGCTCTGTTTCTTTTCTTCTTGTGATAAAATGCTCTGACAAAAGCAACTTAATGGATAAAGTGTTATTTCTGCCTCATAGTTTCAGGGTTCATTTTGGGGGGAAACTCGAGGCAGCAAGAGCTCAAAGCAGCCTGTCAAATCACATCCACAATTAAGCAGCAGTGCAGTCCAAGATGCTCTCCCTAGGGAATGGTCTTGTCCACAGTTAAATAGGTCTTCCCAAATTAATTAACATAATAAATATGTCCTGTAGGTATGCTCAGAGGCTGGTCTCCCTCCCAAGTCCTTCTGAACCCTGCCAAGTTGACAGAAACACTAACTGTTACACACCTTAAGGGACAAGTTCTTCTCTAAATGGAAACCCATCCTCCTTATACTTCATTGCATTAAGCTGAAAGGGGTTCTTTTGTTACTGCCCAGCCCACTGTCTTTGCAGTATAATAAATAGGCTTTTCTTTCTGTTGCAAGGTCTAAAAATCAAATTTATTCACTATCTACTGCAAGCCCCTTGATACTACCATAGTGGCTGTCCACCAAGGTAATAGGTGTTCATACTTATAAATTATTGTGCTCTCAGAAAGATTGTCAAACTTCAAGACTAGAAAACTGCAAACCAGGAAGAGATTCAGTGTGGTTCTCTCCCTCCCCTCGCAGGCAGTTGGCCACGGACCAAAGAGAACAAAGGGAGCAGAAACTATGAATGGGTTCAGGATGGCCATTGAGCATGACAGAAAAAGACTTTCTGGGGAGGCAGATTCAGTGATACAGCTCCGTTTATTCAATGGGGGTCAGGGAAAATATAGTGTGGAGGCAGCAGCCAAAGCTTCAGCTGATAGGTGCTCACAGTATGCTTTATTTACATGTGGTTGGGGGATCCTATCATCCGACTATAGGGCAATGCCTAATTATCATATAGAAAAAACCTGGGGGCATTTTTATTGCAGGTAACTATGTCAAAGATCATGTTCCAAATAAGGTCAGGCATCTGTGCTTGGTGGCATTTTCCAGGTAAGTCAGGCAGAGAGCAGGAGGCCCCCCACTGATAAAGGGAGTCCTTCCATATAGGCCAAGCCCCTTAGAGCTATCCAGACATGGAGGACTACAACCTTAGCAGCAGGGTCCCCTAACAATTCAAAACCACTCTCAAGATACCTAACATAATTTCAGGATTATCAGTGCCTATGATTTGGGCTTTTAAGCCAAATTCAGTCTGTTTTTACTTTTCATGATGCCTTTCTGCACAACTCCAACAAGTTGCAATTTAGGTCAGCTATTGACAGGTCTGAGGCATTTCACAGAGTTTATTCAAATAGTCAGCAACCAGGTTTTACATCTATCATCACTATATACAATAAACACCAGCTCATTTATTATAGAAACTGTGGTTATAATTTTTTAAAAACTCCACAGTTCTTGTCATGGAACTGAATTCACAAATCCTCTTTAAATGATCAAAGAGCTTAGTATTTACGTGTGGCTTT